CATGACTCACAAGCTGTACTCATAGGAGGTTGAACTTGGAATATACTTAAAGATGATTGCAGGACTGCCCTCCTGAAGTTTTATCTGGTGTAGATGGAGTGGTAATTGCATAACGCTTGGTAAAAGTATGTACAGAAGACCAGGTAGCAGCCCTGCAAATGTCCAACATTGAACCATCACTGATCAGTGCTATTGACATCACTTGGGCCCTCGTCGAATGAACCCACAGTCTCTGTGGAGGCACAGTCTCAGCTATTTCATATGCAGATGGAATGCAAGAAGTCATCCATGGAAACTATTTGCCCAGAAATCGCCTGTTCCTTCATTCAAAGTGCATAGGAGATAAACAGATGAAGCAATGCCCGAAGAGGCTTAGTACAGTCAAGATAGAATGCCAACCATTGCCTCGTATCCAACAACTGAAGGCACTGTTCATCTGTGTTGGAGTGTGGTTTAGGAAAACATCAGTAAATAAACCATTTGGTTAAGATTAAACTACGAAACCACTTTCTAGAAAATTTTTGGATGGGGCCATAAAGCTACTTTGTCATTGAAAAACTGTCTGTACTGGGGCTCTGCCATTAAGGTCTGCAGCTTGCATACTCTTGTAGATCTCATAGCTATAGGGAAGGCTGTCTTTTCATACCGGAGGGACAGAGAACCGGGATTTCAATCAACACCCATAAGGGCAGCCAGGACACTATGAAGGTCCCACAAGGGAACTGGCTTTTTCACAGGCAGGTGGAGATGAATGATTCCCATTTGAAATCTCACCACCGTGGGGTTTTGAGAAAACTGACTTTACTTGGATGGGTGGATGAAATGCCAAAATTTCTCCCAAGTGAACCCTTAGTGAGCTGAGGAAGAGACCAGGATACCGAAGGTGTAATAGGTGCTCCAAAATGCCCTGAATACCAACCAGCATTGGCTGAATTCCCCGAGCAAATGCCCAAACTGAAAAATGTTTACTAAGGCGACTTATTTGGTGAAGTGGAGAGGGCTTCCTGCTGTTAAGCAACACCTGATGAACAGCTTCTGAACATCATTCCTCCTCCTCCTCATCTAGCCATGGGAGCATCCACACTGTGAGATGAAGAATATGAAGTGCTGTATGCAAAACTCGACCTAGTGCTGAGTCCGTAGGTTGGGATGAAGAGATATGGGAGGCTAAACTGATAGACTGAGAAGGTCGGAGAACCAACATTGCCTTGGCCAGGCTGGAGCAATGAGAATCAGTTTGGCATGGTTCAATTTCAGCTTGAGAATGTACTGTGGGGTGATTGGTATCCGAGAGAAGGCGTACATTAGAGCTGATCCATGATTGATATGGAAAGCGTCAGTTAAGGAGCCTGGACCAAGATCTGCTCAAGAGCAAAATGAATGTCACTTCTGGTTTGTCTTGGCAAACCGGTCAACAGTTGGGAATGCCCCATTCCACAGAGATGGACCTCAGTACAAGACTTCAGAGACCACTCGTGATTTTGGGAGAAATTCCTGCTGAGGTGATCTGCCAAGTGATTCTGAGCCCCAGGTAAGTGAGTGGCTGTGGGAGTGATGCTCTCCGAGATGCAGAACTGCCAATACTTTATTGCCTCCTGACACAGCAAGTTGGAGTGAGCTCTACCCTGCTTGTTCTCATAATATATTGCAGTGTTATTGTTAAGCACATGAACCACTGTACTACTGATGTGATCCCAGAAGGCTCGGCGGCATTGTTAATGGCCTGAAGCTCGAAGACATTGATGTGGAGGGAAACTTCTTGTTCTGAGCACAAGCCCTGAATTTCCAACGCTCTTAGATGTGTTCTCCAACCTATTGATGCTGGCATTGGTGACTATAGTCCTGGTCAGTGGAGGACATGCAAAGGGAACATCCTGGCATATGTTGCTCAGAACTGCTATAGAGAGTCCAGGATCTCCAGAGGCACTTAGACAAGACTGTCCAACAATTGACAGCTTTACATTTGAAGAAGGCAAAAGCACAGTCTCGCATGCTGGTCTACGAAAGTGCATGCAGCCATATGATGTATATGATGCAGCCATATGATGGAGTCCCTAAAAGCCCTTTAGTAGTCCTGCTTAGTCTTATGAGACCTCTTCCTTGGAGGACCTGAGGAAGGAGAACAGATTCTGTTAGGAGAAGCACCGAATCTTGAGCCAGGAGTCACATTTCATGTCTGCTCTGAAAGAGAACATGGAGCTATATGGTTTGAAGAAGTCCCTAGTGCTGAGGGCCTCACGGCATACTTTGAGAGGTGGTGTTTCCGATGCAAGTTCCTCGCTAAACTGAGTCCTCCTCTTAAAGGACTTGCATATAGAACACCTCTCATTATTGTGCCCTTCTCCTAGGCACAACAAACACCATGGGTGAGGTTCACTGTTGGGGATAGCAACCCCATACAATAGACAATGTTTAAATCATGGTAAGAACATCACCCAGTGCAACAACTAGCTATCTTAACTATTTTAACTAAACCTAAGGGTACTACTAGACTACACTAAGAAAAAAACGGTTACTTACCATCTCGTAACTGCTGTTCTTCGAGATGTGTTGCTCATGTCCATTCCAATAGGCGTGTGCATGCACCACATGCACAATTGTCAGAAGGTTTTACCCTAGCGGTACCCGGCGGGTCGTCTGTGGAGTCCCCTGGAGTGGTGCCTTCATGGCAGTGTATATAGGCCCCTGCCGATCCGCCACCTGTTCAGTTCCTTCTTGCTGGAATACTCCGACAGAGGGGAGGCGGGTGGGATTTGGAATGGACATGAGCAACACATCTCGAAGAACAACAGTTTATGAGATGGTAAGTAACCGTTTTCTCCGAGTGCTTGCTCATGTCCATTCCAACAGGTGGCTCCCAATGGAGGAGGGGTCGGAGTTCACCGAGTTGCTGACTGAAGTACTGCCCTGCCGAAGGCCGCATCGTGCCTCGCCTGTTGAGTGATGGCATAGTATGACATGAAGGTGTGGATGGAAGACCATGTTGCTGCCTTGCATATGTCCTGAATAGGGACTTGCGCAAGGAATGCGGCATGTAGCACGTTCTGATGCAGGACGTGATCCACAATGAAATGCGCTGAGATGAGATGGGAAGCCCTTTCATCCTTTCGGCGATTGCAATAAAGAGCTGTGGTGACTTATGAAACATCTTCGTGCATTCAATGTAGAAGGCTAGGGCACGCCTGGCGTCCAGAGAATGAAGTACTCGCTCTCTATTGCTGGCATGAGGTTTAGGAAAGAATACCGGTAAAAATATGTCCTGGTTTACATGAAAGTGTGAGACTACCTTGGGTAGGTACGCTGGGTGAGGGCGTAGTTGCACCTTGTCTTTATAAAAAAAAACGTGTAGGGAGGCTCGGAAGTCAGCGCTCTGAGTTCAGAGACCCTTCTGGCTGAGGTTATGGCCCCCAGAAATGCCACCTTCCAGAACAGGTAGGATAGAGGGCAGGTTGCCATGGGCTTGAAAGGGGGCCCCATAAATCTGGAGAGAACCAGGTTGAGATCCCACTGAGGAACGGGCTGCCGCACCTGTGGATAAAGCCTGTCCCAGCCCTTGAGAAACTGACCAACCATGGGATTTCCAAAGACCAACCTACCCGTCACGCCTGGGTGGAAGGCTGAGCTGGCAGCCAGGTGCACCTTAATAGATTATATCACCAACCCCTGTCATTTCAGGTACAGGAGTGTGGTCTTGCGTGATGAGGTCTGGGAGCATAGGAAGGGCTACTGGCCTGTCCACTGATAGTTTCAGCAACGTGGTGAACCAGTGCTGGCAGGGCCACGCTGGTGCTACGAGGATCACCGAAGCCCTGCTGGACCTTGTGTATGAGCGGGAAGGGTGGGAACGCATATAGCAGATGACCCATCCATGGGAGGTGAAAAGCGTCTGCTATGGAGCCAAGGCTGTGGTTCTGAAAGGAGCAGAACAGCTGGCACTTTCTGTTGCTCCACATCGCAAACAGGTCCATGTGGGGATAGCCCCACCTCTGGAAGATGGAAAGGGCAATGTCCGCTCTGAGTGACCACTCGTGAGTGTTGAATGAGCGGCTGAGGTGGTCCGCTAGTTCATTCTGTGCTCCTGGCAGATATGAGGCTTGTAGCTGGATGGAGTGTGTGATGCAGAAGTCCCACAGTCAGAGAGCTTCCTGGCACGGGGGAGAGGAGCGAGTACCGTCCTGTTTGTTTATATAGAACATCGCTATGGTGTTGTCCATCATCACTCAGACACACTTGCTCTGAAGATGGGCCTGGAACATCTGGCAAGCCAGGCGAATGGCTCTCAGGTCTCTGACATTGATAGGCAGCGATAGTTCTGGTTGTGACCACAGGCCTTGAGTTCTGATACTGCCCAGGTGTGCTCTCCAGCCCATCTCTGATGCGTCTGTGACCAGCGACAGTGAGGGCTGAGACTTGGTGAAGGGCACTCCCGTACAGACCACCTGAGGTTGTAGCCACCAGTTGAGGGACTCGAGAATCGGGGCGGGAGGGTCACCAGTCTGTCCAGAGGGTCCCGGCTTGGTCTGTATATATTCGCCAACCAAGCCTGGAGGAGGCGAAGGTGCAATCTGGCGTGTTGTACTACATACGTGCAGGCCACCATATGCCCCAGAAGCTTCATGCAGTTTCTGGCCGTAGCGGTTGGAAACCGGCGGAGGCTCTCGATGATGCCCCTGATGCTTTGGAACCGGAACTCGGGCAGGGAAGCTCTGGCTTGAGTGGAGTCCAGGAGAGCCCCAATAAATTCTATTTTTTGGGTTAGGGCTAGGATAGACTTGGGCCCGTTCAGAATGAGCCCCAACCTGCTGAAAGTGGTGTGTGCCAACGCCATGTGCTCTTGCACTTGCACTCGAGAATTGCCCTTGATGAGCCAGTCGTCCAGGTATGGGAAGACCTGTACCAGGCGTTTGTAGAGAAAGCCCGAATCGGAGTACAGTGAAGTGGTAGTGTCAGCCGCTGACCACAAATCTCAGGAATCGTCTGTGCGCCGGAATAATCGATATATGGAAGTACGCTTCCTTCAGGTCGAGGGTGGCGTACCAGTCCCCCGGATCCAGAGAAGGAATGATGGTGGCCAGAGAGATCATACGAAACTTCAGCTTTCTTATAAATGTGTTGAGATTTCGCAGATCCAGACTAGGACTGAGCCCACCTTTGGCATTGGGGATGAGGAAATATTGGGAGTAGCAAGGACAGGTCTGTCTCCCAAGATCTGTGAGAGTAAAGGATCATCTTTCAGGATAGGTTGTAGATCTCTGATGATGCGCTGGAGAGGTTTTAGTTGGGGGCTGAAGGTGACAGCTAGTGGTGTTCTGTTATTTTCTTTGTTGGCCCTGTCTTGTAGGAGGTGACTTCTGGGTACTCGTCTGGCTCTGTCAATCTGTTTTTTCACTTCAGCAGGTGGGTATTGTAGTTTTAAGAATGCTTGATAGAGATCTTGTAGGTGCTTGTCTCTATCTGAGGGATTGGAGCAAATGCGGTTATATCTTAGAGCTTGGCTGTAGACAATGGATCGTGTGGTGTGTCCTGGATGGAAGCTGGAGGCATGTAGGTAAGTGTAGCGGTCAGTAGGTTTCCGGTATAGGGTGGTATTTATGTGACCATCGCTTATTAGCACAGTAGTGTCCAGGAAATGGACCGCTTGTGTGGATTGATCTAGGCTGAGGTTGATGGTGGGATGGAAATTATTGAAATCATGGTGGAATGGCTTCTTTTCCATGGGTCCAGATGATGAAGATGTCATCAATGTAGCGCAAGTAGAGTAGATGATCCTTTACTCTCACAGATCTTGGGAGACAGACCTGTCCTCGCTTACAGACAACCCCCCAACCTAAAGCAAATACTCACCAGCAACCACACATCACTGAACAAAAACACTGACCCAGGAACCTATCCTTGTAACAAAGCCCGATGCCAACTCTGTCCACATATCTATTCAAGTGACATCATCATAGGGCCTAATCACATCAGCCATACCATCAGGGGCTCGTTCACCTGCACATCTACCAATGTGATATATGCCATCATGTGCCAGCAATGCCCCTCTGCCATGTACATTGGTCAAACCGGACAGTCTCTACGCAAAAGAATTAATGGACACAAATCTGACATCAGGAATCATAATACTCAAAAACCAGTGGGAGAACACTTTAACCTGTCTGGCCATTCTATGACAGACCTGGGGGTGGCTATCTTAAAACAGAAAAACTTCAAAAACAGACTCCAACGAGAGACTGCTGAGCTGGAATTGATATGCAAACTAGACACAATCAACTCAGGATTAAATAAGGACTGGGAATGGCTGAGCCATTACAAACATTGAATCTATCTCCCCTTGTAAGTATTTTCACACTTGCTTCTTATCAAACTGTCTGTACTGAGCTATCTTGATTATCACTTCAAAAGTTTTTTTTCTCTTACTTAATTGGCCTCTCAGAGTTGGTAAGACAACTCCCACCTGTTCATGCTCTCTGTATGTGTGTATATATATATCTCCTCAATACATGTTTCACTCTATATGCATCCGAAGAAGTGGGTTGTAGCCCACGAAAGCTTATGCTCTAATAAATTTGTTAGTCTCTAAGGTGCTACAAGTACTCCTGTTCTTATTCCCTTTTGGTTCTGGGCTTGAAGCCTCTGCAAATACTACACTTTTGTCCTGCAAATGTCCCTCTCCCAGGCACTTCAGACAAGCGGCGTGCAGATCCCCTCTGGGCATAGACTTACCACACCTATCACACAGCTTGAACCTGTGGGGCCGCGGCATGCCCTGGCGAGGGGGGAAAACTTAGGCGGGGGGGGGGAACCCCAACTTAAACTAACTACTATAATAATGATTAACAACTATGTACAGGAAAAAACACTAAGAAAGCACTTGCTAAAGGAAGAGACAAGTTGCTCCAACGACAGTCACTGGCGGTAAGAAGGAACTGAGCAGGTGGCGGGTCGGCAGGGGCCTATATACGCTGCCATGAAGGCGCCAATCCAGGGGGCTCCACAGCCGACCCGACGGGTACCGCTAGGGTAAAACCTTCCAATGATCATGCACGTGGCACGCACACACACCTATTGGAGGGACATGAGCAAGCACTCGAAGAAGAAGACCTATATAAAGTAAGTTCCCAGAGAAACTGAGATAAACAGTGTGAGGTAAATCACCACACAGAATGCTCTGACTCTAGCTGTGGGCAGTGAGAAGGATCTGAGAAGGGTAGGGGCAGTGCTGCCTTTAAATAGAGAGGGAAGGGGCTGGAGCCCCAGGGCCTGTGCACCACCCCGATGACTACTGCTAGGCAAAGTTTTCCAGCTTTGGTGTGATGGGTGTGCACCCATCTGAGAGGAATACACATCTGCAGCCACTTGAAGAAAAATCTTTACTTCTAATGTCTGAGTGCAAATTCCATGTAATTCTTGAGAGAGAATTTCTTTTAAAAACAAGTTCTGCTGTGCTGCTATTCTTTTTTAGAACCCTTGCCAATAACCCAGCTAACAAAGTAGCAAGTATAGGCTAGCACTCCCAAGCCACCCCACAGTTAACCTGTGTGTAATTTCAATGTGGGAGGCAGGGCTCAAGGTTTGAAGATGCAGTTTTATACAGAAAAGACAAGAATTACTTTTAAAATCAGGAAAAGCATTTGGCCTTTTCAAAGGCTTTTGGAGATTCTCCCGGTGTTCTAGCCCAGTACATTTTAATAACTGGTTTGGTTCTGGCCAATAAGAAGGCTCATGTTCTCTCTATTCTTAACCACTTGTTGCTGTAGGTTGCTCACATGTCCAATGGCAGCATTACATATTGCACTGATATTAAGAGATTAAAAGAGGTGATGTATTTCTATATCCTCAACAGCTCTTTCTGATAATTCTGCTGGTCACTTTCTTTTGCAGGGTGCCTTCTGGGGCTTGTTCATTGGACTGGTAGTTGGGCTGTCTCGAATGATTGCAGAGTTTGCCTATGGTCCTGGAAGCTGTGTAAACCCCAGCAACTGTCCAAAGATAATTTGTGGAGTTCATTACCTTTACTTTGCTATAATCCTTTTTACGATCTCCACCATCGTCATCCTGGGTATCTCACTGATAACTAAACCCATTCCTGATGTACATGTGAGTATTGTTGCCTCTTCTGCTCTTTTATTCCCACTCCTGCTCCCCGAGATACCGGCGAGCTAAGAAAAAAACCATCACTTTAATTTACACTTTACGAGTATTAATAAGTATATTCAATCCTAGAATTTAGAGTATGCAAATCATACAGGATCCTCCCACCTAATTGGGTTCAGAGTGAAATTTTACATCTTCCCCAAATTATTCCTTGGGCCTGAGATCTCTGGAAATGCAGCACTCTCGGCTACATAAACAAGGTTCTGGAGATTATTCTGTAATCAGAAGTACCTTGAAGACATTATATAGTATACAATGTGGAATAATACTGGAATTTGATCCCTAAGAGCCACAAACAGTAGGTGGTGCATTTTCTGTGGTGTAGCAAAGATTTCAGGAATGAAGTTGTTAAGGAAGGGAAACAGGAATTGTCTCCTACAGTATCTCCCTACTCTTATGAGATCCCTAATAATCCCTACATATTACTTAGCAAACATTCATGACCCCCAAATCTGATAGCCAGGATCAATGGCTATTAGCCAGGATGGGCGGGAATGGTGTCCCTAGCCTCTGTTTGCCAGAAGCTGGGATTGGGTGACAGGGCATGGATCACTTGATGATAACCTGTCTGTTCATTCCCTTTGCGGCACCTGCCATTGGCCACTGTCAGAGGACAGGACACTGGGCTAGATGGACCTTTGGTCTGACCCAGTCTGGCCGTTCTTATAGCGATCTCCATGTGCTGGTTTCAGTATTCTAAGGCTGCAGCTTTGTAAGCTCATTTTGTTTAATGGCAGCTCTATGGCTTGTGCTGGACTCTGCGGAACAGCGAGGAGAAGCGTATTGACCTGGATGCAGATGAGAGGATTGAGGGATTTGAGAGTAAAGATGATGAATCAGGTGATTTCTGAATAAAATTCTGTTAAGATTTGTAGAAGCCATCAACGTATTTGAGGTCCCTAACTTCATTCCTGAAGACACAATGAAGTGCCTTGTACTCCCTTTAAAACAGATGCTGAAGGGCTAGTATGCACAGAGTTAGTGCAATAATTTTTCACCACTGTTGGTCTGGTGGGTCTGATGTAGATTGGGAGTGAAATGAATTACATGATGGCAGTCTAGTTCCCTGTTGATTTTTGTGCGTAGCACAAAAGACTTCATGTAATTAGATGAGAGGCTCAGGGCTAGAACAAAGTGAGTGGGTGGTGCTGGTCAGGGGTGATGGCAGAGTTGAGTGAAAGGACTGAATGAAGATGCATTTGGAAGTGGTGTAGGCCGGGGGTTAGGTTTTGGAACAGCAAAGGGTGGTGCACAGCAGGGTGAAGATGTTTTCCCAGAATTGCACTGGGGAAACTTGCACAAAACTCTGCCTGGCTCCAGGCTCTGATACAAAGCACCACTGAATTCAGCCAGTTAATACAAAGAGAAAAAATACAAAAACAGTTGAATAAGTAGAGAGAGAGCTGCATGGTGACCTGCTTCTCAGTCTCAGGCTGAAGAGTCAGGGCTGGAGTCTCTAGCCTGCTAGGGCCTTTGTGCACCATGTAAACAGGGCAAAGTTGCCTTAAATCAGCCAGAAATAGCTGGTAGGGAATTGCTCCTTGCAAGGGATGTCTTTTCCAGCAGAACGTTGGAGCTGCCTCCTGTGTAGCTACCCTCCCTAACCTTACCTGTGTAAGAGCCAGAGGGAGCATGTTGAGGAAGGAAAGTGGGTGTAGCTGCCCCTGCTGCAGATGGCAGTGTAGTGGGGGAGGCCGGGGGTGAAGATGTGGCCCATTACTCTGTACCCAACACTTTTCAGTCCTGTCGCAAATCATGTATATTTAAGTATTTATAATGTGCTTGAATCAGCTTAGTGATTTTTAGCATTTGTGAGCTACCAGTGTTTTCAGCTATATCACTGCTAACTGGGAACAAACTGTTCTTCGAGTAGATGCAGGCCCATATTCCACTTAGGATGTATGCTCGCTCGCCCAGCACACTGGAGCAGGCGTCTCTCCGAAGAAACAGAGGAGCTGCTCCCTGTCAACTGTGCTGAGGAAAAGGTTGCATAAGACCAATTGAGATTGCTCCAGGTCTTGGGGTGACTCTTCCGCCTCCCCCAGGAAAAACACGGACCAGCACGGAGCTGATGCTGGCACACAGGATGGTACAGGTATCTCCATCCCTTCCCTAGTACTGAGTAGGGAGGTCAGAAACCCTGTACTGTTGACTCTGGTTCCAGCCTCCGAGTGTCTGTTTAGTCCAGTACCAATGAGGGAGATGCTGGTCCCGACTGTTTCCACATTGACAGCACACCAGGCAGCTACAGACTTCTGCTTTTCTGTCCCACCCTTTCCTTTGGTCCAGGATTTTGCCAGGGTTGTGTCATCTCTTGCCCCATTGATTGAACAAGCCACTGACCCCTCAGGTCTGTTTGCACTGCACCCCAGCGTTCCCCTTCCCCATGTTGTGGAAGCAGGGCTGGTACTGGAATTGATACAGGGGACCTCAGTACCGGGAAACTCCTCAGACCTCCGCAGTTGGCTCTGCAAATGCTTCTATGGTGGCTTTCACTGGCCTTGATATCAGTATCATAAGACACCCCAATATCACTGCTCAATTTGGGACCAACAGCCACTTCTGCAGTGCCGCCTCCTGCCTTGTTCCGGGCGATGGATGAGTCAGTTTTGCGTCTTGCTCCCTTTGGTCTCGCTCCGCCCTTATCTCCAGCATCCCGAGGCTCCTCTGCGTCTGAGTCGGTGTCATCATCCTCCTGTTCTCCATCGCCTGACCAGCATTGGGGACTGTTGATGGACTGTTACGGGTACCAGGATTGGCACACGTCTTGTGGTCAGGATGGAGGGCCCTGTCCCGGCACCTACTGGCCACCAATGCCTTACCTATGTCAGTGGCCTCCATGGAATCCGTGGAACACCCCTCAGTTTTGGAGGTTCTGCTCTTCTTCTTGCTCAAAGGCGAGATCATCAGCCAGGATGTGGTGTTGACTGTCCATCTGCTGCAGGCCCAGGCACTGGTGGTCCTTCACCCTGCAGAGCCTCCGGAGTCCTCCCACACAGGCCCATCAGCTCTGGAACAGGATCTAGTTTGGCTCAGCTAAGGGGCTCATCATCATCTTCAGACGAATCTGTGCTGCCCAGCTCATCCTCCCCTTTGGTACCGGAGGATTTTAAGGTGTACCAAGGCCTTTTGCAGCAGGTAGTTGCTTCCCTTGGTATCCAAGTGGAGTTTTTGCAAGAGAACACCCACAAATTAGTGAATATCTACAGCTGTCTGCCCTGGTAGAATTGCCCTCCCTACCAATGATGCACTCCTTGAACCAGTTAAGGCCCTCTGGAGCAGGCTGGCTTCGGTACTGCCTGCAGCTAAGCACATGGAAAAGCATTGTTTCATTCCCAGGCAGGGATTTGAGGGGTTTTACTCCCATCCAGCCCCAAATTCCTTAGCTGCAACTGTGGTGAATAACAGCCTGGCAGGGCTGGTTTCAATCCAACCCCAAGAATAGGGATTCTATAGGATTGGATCTCATGGGCAGGAAGATTTACACCTTCTCTTCCTTACAGATGTGAATGGCTAATCAGCAAGCCTTACTATCCAAGTACGATTTTTTTAACTGGACAACTGTGTCAAAGTTTGCAGAGCAGCTCCCGGAGGCCTCGCAAGAGGAATTTGGGGCATTTGTCACTGAGGGCTGCTTGGTGGCTAAGACGTCCTTGCAGTCCACACTAGAGGTCACGGACACCTCAGCCAGAGTGATGGCCTCCACGGTCACCATGAGGAGGGCTTCTAGCTCCAGAATTCGGGCAGTGCCCCTAATGTCCAGCAAGCCATTGAGGATTTGCCTTTCAACGGCTAAACACTGTTTTTGGACAAAATTGCTGCACTTCTTTGATTCCCAGGCCACCCTGCGGTCCTTGGGGTGTACATGCCAGCAATGCAGAGGCGCAACAGCAGTATCGTCTGCAGTGCATGTTTGGCCAGCCTTTTGCTCCTCTGAGGCAATGGGACTACCCCAGAAAGAGGGATAGATCCCACAGGAGAAAGCAGTTGGACTCGGGGTTTGGCCCCTCCCTGGTGCCCTCCACATGCCCATTTTGATTCCTTGGTCCAGAGCACTGTTCCCATCCTTGCTCCTCCCTCCTCATCTCCCCTTTTTGGGGACAGACTGGCCTGTTTTCACAATGTTTGGGGCTTGATCACCACTGACAGCTGGATCCTAAGCACTGTCAGATTGGGTTATGCCATCCAGTTTCTCTCCACACGATCTCCCCATCCTCCCCCCCAGTCCCTCTTCAGGGACCCCTCTCTCATGAGATACTGCTCCTCAAGCAGGTCCACTCTGTACTGGCTTTTGGAGCGATGGAAGATGTTCTGCAGGAACACTAGGGTCACAGCTTCTACTTCCAGTACTTTCTGGTACCCAAATCCAAGGGAAGAGTAAGACCCATGCTTGTCTTTCGCGGCCTCAACAAATATATCGGGTACATGATGTTCCAAATGGTTGTCTGTCTAATATTCTCCTTTCATCGTCTCAGAACGACTGGTTTGCTGCTCTGGACCTTCAGGACGACTACTTCCATTTGGCAATTTTGCTGAGCCACAGAAAATTCCTTCGATTCGTCATGGCAGAGCACCACTTTTAGTATACAGTGCTTCCATTCAGCCTCTCTTCTGCATCCCCAGGTTTTTACCAAAAGCATGGCCATTATTACAGCATATTTCAGGAAGAAAGGAATTCACATCTTCCTGAATCTGAATGACTGGTTACTGAGGGACAGAACTCCAGAGAGGAAGTTCTTGCTCACATCAGCACCACGCTGTGCTCGCATGGCTGTCTTGATCTCATCCTAAACACCAGGAAGGTAACCTTGTTCCCGCTGAGAAAATCGAGTTAATTGGGGTCCTCTTACATTCCATGATGTCAAAAGTGTTTCTGCCGACTGACCGTTCACCACCATCGCCTCAGTCTGCAGTCTGAGCCTTCCACAACAGTTCGGACGTATCTGAGACTCTTGGGCCGCATTCCCAGTTGAATGCAGGTGGTCCAGTTTGCAAGTCTGTGCCTTCAACGCCTTCAAAGGTGGCTCAGGAAGGTTAACCATCCTACTCTTCACCCTCTAGACAGACTGGTCCATCTTCTTCCACTGGCCCTGGACTTCTTGCAGTGGTGGATGCATGCAGAGAACGTTTGCCAGGGCATTCCCTTTATCCAGCTCTCGCCAACCATGTTGGTTGTTACTGATGCCTCTCTGAGGTATTGGAGGGCGCACCTGGGGTCACTGAAAGTACAAGGGCTGTGGTTGGAACAGGAGTCCTCACTCCATATCAACATGCTGGAGCTGTAGGCCATCTGCAATGCACATCATGCTTTTCGGGACCGTATCAGAGACTCAGTGGTTCACATACTTACTGACAATACTATTGTGATGTATTATGTGAATAAACAAGGGGGAGTAGACTCCAGGTGGCTCTGCCTTCTGGCGATCAGGCTGTGGCAGTTTTGCATCAAGAAGAGCATTATTTAAATAGCTATTCACTTGCCTGGGGTTCAGAATCATCTTGCAGATCATGTCAGCAAGTATTTTTCCCTGAGTCATGAGTGGTCCCTGAAGACACGTCCTCTGGGTCATCTTCACAGCTTGGGGCATCCTTTCCCCCAATCCCGATCATTCCTCAGGTCATCCTCAAACTCAAAGTGGATTGGGAAAAGCTCATTCTCATTGTCCCAGTGTGGCCGAGACAATGCTGGTTCTCCGACCTTCAACCTCCTGTACCATCCTCCCCATCCCGACTTACTCACTCAGAACCAAGGCTGCACCTTGCATCCTGCGCTCAGCTCCGTGCATCTCATGGTGTGGCTGCTCCATGGATGTGTGAGGAGGAAGAGCAGTGTACAGCAGCTGCCCAACAAGTCCTCCTTAAAAGCAGAAAATCCTCCACCAGGATGGCCTATTCAGGAAAATGGAAGCTATTTTCAGTGTGGTCACGAGCCTATAGAATCCAGCAAATCCTGGCTTCTATTCTGGACATTTTGGAGTACCCACTTCGCCTTCAGTTGTTGGGGCTTGTGTTTAGTACATTGAAAGTGCATCTGGCAGTGATATCGGCATTTCATCTCCTCCCCCCCCCCATTCAGAGCAGATCAGTCATCTTCAGTGCCATGTTATCAAGAGTCTTAAAAGGGCTCCTTTGTCTACATCTTCTGGTCTGAGAGCCAGTTCCTCTGTGGGACCTTAACTCAGTCCTAGTGGCCTTAATGGGACCTCTGTTTGAGCCTCAGGTATCTTGTCCCTTTCCACTTTTATGTCAGAAAATTGCGTTCCTGGTAGTGATAACATCTGCAAGGCAGGTGTGAGTTGCAGGCTCTAATGGCAGAGCCTCCTTATACACAATTCTTGGAAGACAAAGTGACTTTGCGATTGCATCCCAAATTTTTGTCCCAAAGTGGTCTCTCAATTTCATTTGACCCAGGTGATATATTTACCTGTGTTCTTTCCTAAGCCGCATTCCTCTCCACAGGAGCAGTGTTGCCACCCTTATATGTTAGGCAATGTCTGGCCTTCTGTCTGGGCAGGACATAACTGTTTCGTGCTTTGCCTCGTTTGTTTGTGTCATGTGCAGATGGCATGAAGAGTTAAGCAGTTTCTTCACCGACTGTTTCCAAATGGACAACATCCTGCATCAAGGCTGCATATGAAATAGCTTTGGCTACCCCCTTCAGTAGGTGCGAGCTCTTTCTACAAGGGTGCAAGCAACGTCCATAGCATTCCTCCGTGACATTTCCATATTGGACATTTGCAGGGCTGCTACGTGATCATAGATACAGATGTTCATGAACCATTATGCCATAGCTGCATCTTCCAGGGTGGATGCAGGCTGTGGTAGAGTGGTCTGCAGTCCTTGTTTAGGTAAACTCTGAACCCTGCCTCCTAGAGGGGATACTGCTTGTTAGTCACCTAAGTGGAATACATGTCTACATCTACTTGAAGAAGAAATGGTTACTTACTGGTTCAAGATGTGATGCAGATGTGTATTCCATGACCTACCCTCTGTCCCTTCTGCATCAGAATCTCGTTTCCAGGCATTTGGTGTGAGGGAACTCAGGGAGGACTGTGGTGGCACTGCCTCATGTAGCTGGGGAGGGGCTGTGGTCACAGGGCATGAGCACTGCCCCTCTGCCGGTACTTTAATGCAAATTTCTCCAGCTCTGGTGCACTGGGCCGTGCATATACCTAGGTGGAATACATGTCTGCATCAGATCTTGAAGAACCACAGGTACAGTAAATAACGATTTCTTAGTGAACTGGAAAGCACCAGGGCCGCCCGGGGGGGGGGGCAAGTGGGGCAATTTGCACCGGGCCCCGCAGGGGCCCCCACAAGAGTTTTTCGGGGCCCCTGGAGCGGGGTCCTTCACTCGCTCCGGAGGCCCCGGAAAACTCTTGTGGGGCCTGGGCCCCCGGAGCTTCTTCCATTCCGGGTCTTCGGCGGCAATTCGGCAGCGGGGGGTCCTTCCACTCCGGGACCCGCTGCCGAAGTGCCCTGAAGACCCGCGGCGGGGGTCCTTCTGCCCCGGGACCTGCCGCCGAAGTGCCGGGTCTTAGGCGGCAATTCGGCGGCGAAGACCCCAGGTCTCCTGAATCCTCTGGGCGGCCCTGGAAAGCACAGGGGTTTATAGGGTACAAAAGAATTGACTGCAATGCTATTTGGTGGTTATGAATCACTCACTTCATAGGTCTGCTGTGGAATTACAACATTCATCCTACAGAGCTTTTGAATCATTAAGACCACAAATTTGGGGCTGTTATTTCAATTACAAGAGTCTCTAAAGAATGCTTTGTATCACCGAGACCTTGTTTTAATGCCAGTCTACTAGATCCTCACACACCATGTTTCTTGACCTTTGTGCTATTCTCTCTATCACAGAAGGCGGCGATGAAGGACAAGGGATCTTGAAGAAGGCCTACAACTGGTTCTGTGGCTTCGATCAGAAAAAAGGGCCCAAACTGAGCAAAGAGGAGCAGGAAGCGATAGAGAAGAAACTGACTGATACTTCCGAGGAGCCATTCTGGAGAACTGTTGTGAACATCAATGGGGTCATTCTGTTGGGTGTGGCTGTATTCTGTCATGCCTTCTTTGCATAAATCCAACCTTATGCTCCAGAGTTTTTATGAAGGTCTAACTCAAGTTCATTTTCCTTTTGAATTTGCACTGTATTCTTCAAAAGATAAACAACACTACACTAGATCCACGTATCAGACTAGTTAGTTGAGATTTAATTCATTACATTGATTTATTCATTGTTATTTTTAGAAGTTGGTGAAACTAGTTTGATTTCTATGCCCCTTTTTTCTTACTTTCCCTAAAGTGTTCCCGGGTTTTCTTTAGTTCAGCTATATGGAGGGCTGTGCTATAGATTCAGGATGAATGAATCCTTTCAAAATATAGGCTGCCTTATGTAAGTTCCCTATGCATGACATTTTATTGATGTATTCCTTTGATACTATAGCTATGTTTTTTTTCAATAGAATTTTTCTGTCTCTAGTCTCTGTTCCATATGTTATGCTGTTTTTCAGTGGACTTTTCCCCTCTCTAGTCTTTATTCACTCTTTCTCCTAAGTGGAATATGAACCCCGGTAGCTTCTGAGTTTAACGTTTGTATTTGTGCTGTTTGAGTCGGTTTGAAATTAGGCAAAACAAGTCTGGCCAGTCCTAATAAGAGTTGTGTTTATGCCTGACTCTTCAAGATTAGCTTTAAAAATTCATACACAGACTGTGCATTTAGTTTTAATATGAATTTATCCTTGAATGTGAAAGCTCTATTTATAAAAATATATTCTTGTTGATTTTGATTCCCCAGCATGATACGTCAAAGTTAGCATCCATTTACATTGACTGTAGACCTCCATTTTATAAGGAAGGCCCTAGTGTACTCTTAATTCCCCTTCTTAGTGGATTTACCACCTGGTAATTCTTTATCATGGGTGAATGTTCTAAGCATCAGAACACTGGCCTTGTGTCTTGCTTCCAAATACACAAAGACATTACAGTATTTTTCCTGTCAAATTATTAATCTTCCTTCCCTGACAATTTTGCTACAAAATTTCATTTATGCCATGAGTAAGACTGTTACACTGTAGTTTCCCCAAGGAAAACAGTCTCTGCTCTGACACCATCTAAACAATTCCAATTGTCTTCACCTTATTTGGGAGTGTGAGACAGTGATGAGGCAATGACCTTGGTTTGGGTCTCAGAGACCAATATGGTGAGACGATGTGTGATACTGCAAGTCCAGGTTGAAAAGTGAAAATAGATAGAACTTCTTACCATCTAATTCATCTTCCCCAGGAGGCGTGGATACAGAGAAGGCACTTGGGAAATTCCCAGTTGGCACAGCGAATCTGTATCACAATGCTTTGTTGCCTTATGTACTACAGCTTCCTACACAGCGAGGTGTAACATGCATCTCATCTACCTGCAGTATTGTACAGCATTGCGAACTGTGCTGCAACATGTAACAGGCAAGCCAATGTGGTCTTCTGTAAATCCCTTTAACTTTCATCACACTGTGCTGTTGTCTCAGTCTGTTGCTACTTCAGAGGAGTGCATAACAGAATGTACTGTCCTCTTGCAGCTGCAATATGATCTTCAGGATAATTCTGTCTCCCTGCAGTATCCTGACATGTACTGCATAGTGCCAAATCAAATCAGTATAATCTAAATCCTAATGCAAACTGTCTTCTTTTAATGAATACAGCAGCAGGGAGCATCTTAAGTCATCACTTTGTTGTGCTATGGAATTCATTATATTTCACTAACTATGAAGGTTTGTATGTATTAAAAATTTTCTAATGTGTTTGGGGTCCACAAAGTCAAGAGTTGGTTGTATAAGACAATGGAAAATGTAAAAAATAAAAAAAATTGCTCTTTGATCACATGCTGAAATCAAATCTCTTCAGTCCTGGTCACTTGCACACCTGGGAGTCCAATGCCCATGTCTAGGGGTCTACAGCTGTTCATATGGTGGCTCTGGGTTGCTGTAGCAGATGAGAAACTGGTGAATGAGCCCTTCTTGTGGATGATGCAGCTCCTTCTTAGCTACAGTTTGTAACTATCCTGAAAACACTGAGATGAGACCATTTGGATCAAGGCAGAAATAACACAGCTGGATCTCCCAGCCAAGCTGGGCAGCCTATACCATGACCCCCTTCTTGGGCAATCTTGATAGTCAGGGTCTGACCTGCTTGTATGTTTCATTTCTCCACCCAGGCTGAGTAATGAAGCTTTTTGGAACTACAGACTGAGAATTGCAGGGACAAACATTTGAAACCCATGTGAAGTGACTTGCCTTGGCTCAGGTTTGACAGCTAGAGCTGGCAGAGTCCAGGGATCACAACCATAGCCAAAGCTGACTGCTCCTTAGGGTAATTTGTCTTGCCCTGCAGGAGTTCTACTAAAAGCTGCCTGTGAAATTGCAGTACTGTATGCTCAGTGGATTGGCGATGGGACACGGAGCCTTTCACCTCTAGGTCACCAGTTCAACTCCATCTTCGGTTGGTAAGTGTTACTATCTGATGTCAGTTTCATGGTCTTATTAATCGAGTTGGTGGTTTCAGTCCAATTTCTAGTAGACTACTGTCTGCACCCCATAGGTGCTGTTAAACTGGTGCATATCAGTAGACAAAGCCAAGGTGTAAAGTGCACAGGAATTGAACATCCCCGTTCCTGTAGAGATGGGGGTGGCAGATTCTGGTCTCTCATCATTGTAAATCTGGAATTTCTGAGGTCAGTGGAGTTATTTCAGAAAAACATCCGGGCACCCTCATGACATGATATAATCAAATAGCAAGAGACTTTTGGGGACAGTTTAGAATAGCCTGTCATGTTTTCATATCTAGATGTATACATTTCCCATAAACTAGTTCTGCAAATCTACATTAATTTCTAGTGATATAAAGGAAGAACCATGTTGTGAAAAATCTGTAAATATCTAGGCTAATAGCACTCTGAGCCATAAGCAGTATGGATTTATAAAGAACAATAGCTAGCTCAGTGGTTTGAGCATTGGCCTGCTAAACCCAGGGTTGTGAGTTCAATCCCTGAGGGGGCCATTTAGGGACCTGGGGCAAAAATCAGTACTTGGTCCTGCTAGTGAAGGCAGGGGACTGGACTTGACTTTTCAAGGTCCCTTCCAGCTCTATGAGATAGGTCTCTCTCTCTAAATGCTGTCAGGCAAGTCTGATCTTTCATTAATAGAATTACTAAGTTAGGGCCAAATCCTGTGAGGTGCTGATTACCGTCATTTCAACCCTACTCTCATTTTATTTTCTGTATCATTGTAACTGAAGTATCTGAGCATTTCCCAAACGTTAATTAATATGCTTGAGAATGTGCTGTGAACTAGGGAAGTATTATACGATCCTCATTTTGCTGATGCACAGAGAAGCAAAATCACTTGGGAAGTCTGTGGCTTAGTTAGAAATAGAACCCTGATCTTCCAAGTCCCAGTCCTGTGCCTGGGCCTCCAAGACCATGGGGAGTATAGAGCTCTCAGCACCGCCCAGGACTGGGATCTTAAAGCACAAAGTGAATGCAGTAGCTGTACCACATTCAGATTTAACTATTCACAGACTGACTCAAAATTCATTCCAAATTGGTTTGGCTAGGAACACTTCCATGCATTAAAAACTTACTGGAGGTCCACGACCAAGGGTAATGACGAATTGCAATGTGTTGCATTGAGGTGATGTTTGTGCATTGGGTGTCTCAGTGGTAGGCTCTGCATAACTGTACCCTGCATTAATGATTGAAAGATGGGGTAAATGATGTATTGGAACACTGGTAATTTTCTTTGACGAGACCTTGAATTTGTTTGATTCAAATACTGGAGGTGGGTGCGAATCTGCTGCATTGGAGATGGAGGGTTAAGAGGGACAGTAAGGGTATGAGTAGGTAGTGGGATAATGGAGTAAACTAGAGAGGCTGCTGACAAGTGAAGGAGGTTTTTTCTAATGCTGTTTAGGCTGCCCAGCTGTTTTTTTCTTTGTGTTCTGCATGTGACACAAACAACTGTAATAGAAGCTAACTAGAGCAGCAGGGGAAGGGAGCTGCATTTATATAGCTCTCATTCTGCTTAACTTAAAATAACGTACCACTAACACAGATGTAACAACAGAGGACAACAGATCACTAGGAATTATGATGAATATAAACAGCCAGGCACAGTTTTCAACAGGGCTTCATGCCATTGTTCAGTGAAATGTGTATAGAGGACCAATTCCAGTGCAGTTCTGGGATGGAAACACCTTGGGTGCACCTATATTCTCTCCAATGACTTCAGTGCAAGAGACTTTTATCTTCCTTATAGTGACCCCTGCTGGGAGAGACTGGGATAGAGCATCTGAGTTTCCCTGAAGTCACCACTCCCACCCCATTCCCTCTAGTGTGAGAGGCTCAGGCTAGAGTAGCTGTGAGTGCCCCCCAGCCAGCACTTCTTAACTGTTCTCTGGATTGACTCTTACTGGAAGAATCACAAACTGGAGTAAATGTAAACTCACAGAGGCAGAATGCGGGCCTGTTCTCTACAGAGAATGATGCTCGGACAGATTGAACTCCCCCACAGCCTGTCCTTATATTAGAAGAGGCTGAAACTCAAGTAACAGAGTTGATGTTCAAAATTGCCTTTATAACACACCAGTGTAATAACTATGGAAATCTTTTATCAATGGCAACAACTTGATGTCTAGGCAAGGCAATAGAGGGAGAAGTCCCCAAAAGCTGTTGGCCTTGCTAGCATGGGTCTGAGGTTCAGATTTTTAGTGTACTGGTTTTGCATTTGGGTATGACAAACCATTCTCCTTTTTACAGATATTGTAGTAATTAACAGTGAACCAAAACAGAAGGTCCTCACTTAGTTTTTACTCTGTTCTTAGACAAAATGCCAACTGATGTCTTTCCCTTTTGACATAAGTCTGATCCTACAACTCTTCACACAAAATGAAGGGAGGAAAATTTTCTTTTGGAGCATCAAAAAATAGAATTAAAAGCTGCGCTGCCATTTCCCAAAGCTTCTAAAACTGACATTGGTGTTTAATGGCTTTCAATTCCTGCCCCTAGATCAGCGTATTTTAACAGTGACTGGAAA